CCCCACACACACACTACAAAAAAAAATCATGTATACCAAGAAAAGTTAGATGAACTTGTGAGAATCTTGCCATATTGTTTGGATGTTAACTCTTCCTCTACATGTCAAATGTCATTCTGCATTTTCTTCTATGTTAGCTCTGGAGTCACCCTATCAACTGCCTTCTTTGCCTACAAACTCATAGAAGACTTGCATTATTACTATATTTCATACAACTCAAGGAAATAAAAAATTGGTGATCTATGTTGAAATAATAACAAATGTGATCTCTCTAACAGCTTAATCTTTAACCTGTAACAGGATTCAAAGAATCTTAACAAAGTTGCCTGAGGGTCATATGAAAACACAAATTTACCTCTTTTTCCCAATTTGTGCACAGAGTAACTATTAAAAGAAGTAGAGCTTGTGCAAAGACGGCAAGATTGATTCCCAACCAAAGTCCCTGAAAAAACCATATCATAAGTTTTTCGACTAGTTCCAAAGCCAGAAATACCAAGAAATGAGAAGCTTGAGGGAATACCTTTCCACCAAAATGGTAGACAAAAGCTAATACAACACCAGCAGGTATTCCGAAAAGGTAATAAGCTCCTAAGTTAACTGCTGCCCCTATATTTTGCCAGCCACATCCTCTTGCAGTACCTGAATTTTGGTACGCGATAAGCTCATCTAGTCATTTTACTGAATTTTGTCCTTCAAAGAGATACTAGCATCTTAGGAATATATTGAAGTAATATTGTCTATATGTCTAACAGTGGCGGATGTAGCATATAATAGGCGGATATAGCATATACTCGACTGGTTCATGGTTCAACTGAACTCAGCATTTTCAACGCGTAATAGATCTACATGTGAAAAATCACTAAAATTTCAAAAGATAATTAACCATAACCTCAGAAGTATAATAGGTTCGACAGTAAGAATTCTAAAGGTTGAATCCATCAAATTTAAATCATGGATCCGCCTCTTATATCTAAGCGGAGTAACTGAAAAACTGCTTCTCAATTTCGATTTGTCTAATATCTGATATGGCCTAAAGTTTCTTTAACAAACCAAGAAACATAGCAATGGAAAACTTTGTATTCAAAGTTTGGACAAACCTGAAAGTACAGACTGAATACCATCTAAGAAGTGGGATCCTGCTATCAAGATTAGCATTTCTGCTACATATCCCACTACTTCTTCCTCAGTGCTATAACAATAGCCCCACAGTTTACGAACCGAAATCAAAATTATTGCTGCAACAATGCCTTCTGTAGCAACCAAGAATACCGCAGTGCAAGCTGCTAAACGAGCTGCTTGAGGTCGTCCAGCGCCTAGTTCATTCGAAACTCTTACGCTGAGGAAAAACACAGCGTGTACAAACTAGTGAAGAAGCATGTATATGAAGGAAAATGTATCTGAACGAGGTTTAAAGATGTTAGCGACTCACCTCGTGGCACCACTTAGTCCTAGAGGTATCATATACACCATCCAACATGTATTAAGACTGAAATATCTCAAAAATTATTAACTTATTGATGAAATAAGATTTCAGAATAATATTAGCATGTTTGTGAAGTTCAACCTGATGGAAAGAACTGACGTCTCTAGCTTCGGATTTGGAAGAAGTCCAGACAACAGAACCATTATTTCGTAAGACCAAATCTCTAAGCTGTGTCAGTAGAAGTAAAATGTTTTAATTCATTTGATCATTTTGTAAACGGTGAATATCAAAGACGGATCAAAGATTTAAATTTGATGAAATCAAACTTTATATCTATACTTGCAAAAGTGCTGGTTTCAGTTGAACCCGTTGATTATATATTACATCTGCTGCTACTAAATGTGTATACATAGACTAAGAATACTACCAGAACATAGCAGCTGAAGGAATAGCAAGTCTTATATATTGCCAAGTATCTTGAAATGCCTCGTTTGATAATCCGGTCCACGTGCTTTTGCAGGACGGGGATATTCTGACATATACAGCTAGCAACAAGAAATTAATCCAGTAGGATATCGCATTAGCCAGAGCAGCACCTTTGTTGCCTAGGCCAGATTTAAATACCAGAATCCAACAACTGAATAAATGCAGCAAAGTTGTTATTCCAGTACTGAACATCATCGGTAGCACTATGTTTTGGGCTTGTAGAAATCTGATTTGACACTGGAGAAATCCATAGGCAAAGATCGTTGGAATCATATATCGCGCATAACTTCCTGCTTCAGCTGCTATTTCCGGATCTTGTCCCAATAATACAAGAATGTGTTCTGCATTACTCCAAATGCAGGCAAGCGGAACACTGGCCAGTAATAGGACAAACATTGCCCTTTGCATATGGATACCAAGCATATGATACTGCTTTGCGCCATATGATTGCCCACATAAAGTGTCCAATGCATTTGCCATTCCCATCTGCCAAGCAAGATACAGTTTGAAATGTAGAGATGATAAAACCACCCTTTAAGTTGGAACCAAAAACTACAGAGGTAACTTTTATTAACTCCAATAACAAATCAAAACCTATCCCACATGAAAAATGGTAACATATGTATCAGGCGCGGGTGCACGTAAAGTTTCTAGTAAATCAAAAATCTATCCTACATGTCTCCAAGGGGATGGCTCGGGGGTAGACACGTAGGAGTGACAACATGGATATTCCAGGTTTGAATACTATCTACAACACTCAGTGTTAGCCCATATTTGGCAGGCAGGATCTCTTAACACATGTTTGCAGACTGTAGCAGTCTGCTATGTTGATTAGTCGAGGTACGTGCAAATTGACACAGAAACAACTATTATTAAAGAAAAAAAGGCATCTCGTGCAAGAACATTCACTTTTTAATGTATTTTGAAGGATCTACAAAGTGCTCTCACTAACCTTGTTCGACGGAGTACATTAAGGTAAATGAAAAGTCCATGTAGCATTTATCAAACAACCATCTAATAACAGATAATATAGTAATCATGAGCTTTAACTAGTGAAACAGGTACTTCTTCAAGCACTTCGAGCATTAAGGAAATCAAACATTTTGACCATTTCTTGACCTTTGTTTTTTTCTTAGTTCTCTACTTGTCTAATGCTATAGAATCACATTAAGGAACTATTGCAGAACTTTATTCGACTACACAAAAGGGTTTAATTTCTAGACGCTAACAATCAGGGGTGAAGCTAGTAAGAGGGAAGGGCCCTTCGTCAAAAACTATACGATGCAAATAGGGTAAATATAGAATTCTTTGGTTATATATAAACTGTTGAATCTTCTTGATACAAGAAAAAATGTTAGTGTAGTGATAAAAGGGGTTTCAAAAGTTACTTCGGATACTAGTTAAAATGCCAATTATGCCATTCTAGTATTTTCTTAACAAAATTCTTGGTTCCACCATAAAAACAATAACAACAACAACAACAACAACAACAACAAACCCAGTGTAATTCTACAAGTGGGATCTGGGGAGGGTTGTGTGTACCAGAACTTACTCCTACGTTGTGAGGATAGAGAGGCTGTTTCCGATAGACCATCGACTTAAAAGGAACCGCCAGACAAACATTATAAAAGATATTTACACTCTTATAACACAGGTTAAATTGTACTACTTGTGTAAAACTTTCATTTGCACACTACCATTGGATATAAGATGAATCAATGCACAAATAGTATCCAAGAAATTCTTGACAACACTAAAGGAAAAAAAATAAAAAATCAAGACTCACCAACAAGCTGAGACCAGTGACAGAGGCAAAGGAAGTAGCCATAGAAGCACCAGAAAGAGCTAACTCTCCAAGATGTCCCACAAACATTACAGATATAACCTGTAAGGCAAATAGTGAAAAATTGACTGACATAAGAGGCCCTGCTAATACCAACAGCTTCTTCACTTCTACCAATATTTCATCATTTCTTCTCCTCTTCTTACACTCTTCCTTTACAGTTTCTACAATCAATGGGCACTCAAGATTTTGTGTATCCATTTTCTATCTCAAAACTTCCCTCCTCAAAGCAAATATGTGCACAGTGTAATGGTAGTCATGGTCCAAGAAACAAATCTTTGTCCATTAAATTATTCTAATACAAAATGGGAAGGGGAATCAAAAAGCAAAAGAAGATCTTGTCCATTGTGCATGTCTTGGAACATCAAGATTTTAAAAGAAATTAAATGAAACAACCCAAGGGTTAGCCTTAACTTACACACTTATTATTTGATTAGTTGATAAGATGTGAGATTAAATTTATACGATATTTGGTTGGTGGTGTAAGTTTATTCTAGGATAAGGATAAATTTATACTATCAACCAAACACGGTAGAAATTTAATCCCAGACTTAATTCAGAATATCACATTTTATCTCACCTTATCCCGTCAAAATTGGGATTATTTTATCGCACCTCTCATGTGGTATAAATTAGTCTTGAGATTATAAACCAGGAATAATTTAGTCTGCCCTGGTATTAGTTATGCTAGCATTAGTTATTGTGACACATTTCTTATCCATTATTTGGTTTGATATATTAAAGCATTGCATAATTTCTAAAAGAATTTTTTGTTTATAAAAATACCCTCATAACCGGACCATCACTTTATCTCTTAAAAAAAATATTTGTTGAGGAATATTTTTATATGAAAAAGGTTTTAAAAAATTATTTGATTTGTCTACCTATGTTGTAGTATAGAACTAAATATTTATTTATAAAAAAAAATATGCTAAATATTTATTTTCTACTAAGGATATAATTTTATTTCTCACTTTCTTAGATTATTAGGTAAAGAAAGTCTCAATTAAAAAAATAAAGGGAAAATGAGTTTATTACAAGTGCATTCTAATACATAGTAACAGATTACAGATTTATAAATTTACAATGAAGAAATTAACGGAGTATAGATATAAATAGCGGGAAAATATAATAGCATATTTTAATCAAACATAAATTCTGAAAGGCAATTTTGTCTTTAACTAAACTAATGCGTGCATTAAAACCTATTACATTGTTAATACCATAGTTTTCTATGCATTAGTTATGCATATGATAATATCAAATCAGGTGTATAACGAATGCTTGCATAACTAATACATAGGTTCAAAAAGTGTACTAAATAAGATATTATTAATACACAAAGCTAATACATGCATTATTTTATCTAATACATCCTATCAAACGGCTCCTTTTCGTTTGGTACATGGTATAAGAATAATAATTATGGAAAAAAAGTTTGAGATTAACTAAAATGGCGGGAGTAGCTATCCCATATAAAAGGCGGAATAGCTAATCTCATAAGATATTCTATCACATGGAATATCCGGGAATATCTCACCACATGGGAAGAATTACTCTCTCTGTCATAATTTATGTGGCGGTATTTAATTGGTCACAAAATTATATAAAGAAAACTTTTGAAGTTTATGTAAAACACGGCATACACATTTTTGTGGTTATATAGGAGTCTGTATTATCTTGTAATTTGACTTGTTGTGATAAGTTTTCTTCCTTATTTTTCATGTACTAATTCCACTTGTTATATACAGTTAGATGTAGCAGTTTTTGGGTGACTCGATAGGCAAAAAAAAAATATTTCTACACCGTTTGTATAAATGTTAAAATCTTTTTTATTGACACTTCTTATTCCGGTTTAACTTCTATTCACTAATAGTTTAAAATAATTTTTATAATATCAGATACCCTAAAAGATAAATATATGTAACTGCCTATAATATATTCAAGTATTTTTAGTGGGTGTTTGGACATAAAAATTGTAAAATTCCAAAACAGGGTGAAATTTTTTTTTAAGTGAGAATGATATTTAAAATTTAGAGTTGTGTTTGGACATAAATATAATTTTGGGTTATTTTTGAAGTTTTGTGAGTGATTTGAGTAAAAATTTTGAAAAATAGATTTTTGGAGTTTTTCTTAAAATACATTTTCAAGTGAAAAATAAAAATTTTACGACCAAGCACCGATTGCGAAAAAAGTAAAACTTTTTTAGAAAAAATAAAAAAAATTCTTATGTCCAAACGGGCTCTTAAAGTGTATTCCTTACGGATTCCACAACTGGAGAGGCACATTTGTTAATATATACAAAGATTTGGAGACATATTCTTATATCAACTTGAACCCTGTGAATGTGGCTCAAATAAGAATATATTTTAAAGTTTGGAATCAAATATGGTTGACCAAAAATACCATAAATGTATACTTTATATTAATTTATTAAAACCAAAAAGGTTTAGGCAGTGGCTAGGCCACTTTCTCTGCTTTATCTCATTATTTTCTCTCCTCTTTTGACTCATACATTCCAATTTCCACATCCCAAACAGGGTCCTTTTGAAGATCTACATTTGTAAAATAAAAAGAAAAAAACAAAAAAAATTATTGGCAATAGTTAGTCCATATATGTTGTTTACAAACAAAAGTAAGAAAACTCATGGAAATCAAGCATAGCTTTGTACACAAGTATTTGAAGCAATGAGGCAAGGCAATGAAGGAGAGTCTGGAACCAACGGTAAAGTGCTAAGACTGCTAATACAGCTAGGGGAGTTGAAGAACTCATTTCCAAGACTAGAAGCGTGAATCAAATGGTCCTTTGACCTTCATTTGATCCGACTATCAATGTATGGGTGCACCCAAACAACTCTTCTTGGGCAATGTATATTGCAAAACTTTCAAAGATGGGATGAAAAATCATTTGTGAGAAGAGATGGTAGGCATGCACCAATCGCTATTGATAATTCCCCCGCTAGGGGAACGTTGGGAGGGGGATATGCTCTATGTCCCGAATGAAATGGAAATATAAGCGAGTTGTCGTATGATTAGAAGGTCAGGGATTCCAAAGAAAGGAAAATGATGTCACACGGATTAGTATTGATGATCCATTAAAGATAATAAATGAAAAACTAAAATGGAATTAATTTATTACAAACACATAGTAATAAATCATTGAATTTCCTTTCAAGGGGATAATTTCAATTGCTAGAGGTGATAATCTCAACCAATTTCTTGAAATTTTCAGTTGAACTCCCACTTGGTCCAACAGCCTTGAGAGCAAGATCTTTATATATACCAATTTGTTGCTTCAATTTCTCTCTATTTTTTGATAAAACCAAGTCAAGTGCAACCATTGTACCACTTTTAGTAAAAACCCCACCTTCAATTTTCACTCCAATTTTCCACACTTTTTCAACCATCCAAGAATTCAAATGATGGTCTCCAAAAAATGGCCTACAAATTATTGGCACACCAGAAGCTATACTTTCCAACACAGAATTCCATCCACTATGATTTATAAAAACCCCAATTGAACTATGTTCAAGAACTTGTACTTGTGGGGCCCATGTTACAATTTTACCATACTCACTTGTATTTTCCAAAAATTCTTTTGGAAAATGTGATATAAAATCATCTTTAATTGACCAAAGAAAAGGTGTCTTACTTTCTTCAAGTGCTTCAGCCATAGATTTTAACTCATTAGGTGGTGGTGTTGCAACTGTGCCAAATCCAATATAAGCCACAGAATTTGGTTCTTGATTATCTAGCCATTCAATACAACCATTTTTGTCTATAATATTTGCTGAGGGTGGTGGGGAGGTTAAGTTAAAAGGACCAACATTAAGAAAATTATTGAATTTGGACTTGAGATTTTCAACAATTGGAGGGTCTAATTCTTCAAAGGAATTTATTGGTAAGGCATTGGCTTTTGTTATGGTTTTGCCCATTTTGTGAAGCATTTTAGAAAATGGTGATTTTAAATCTCCAAATATAACTCCACTAGGCAAATCACCAAGCCTTAATTCAGAAAATCCAGGAATGAATGTTAACATTTCATCTTCACGTCCAGCAATTCCTGTTATACATTAAATGCAACACTTAATTAATAAATAAACGACTACAACAACGATAATTATGTCTCAATCTCATACAAGTTTCTCTTGCAATAATCATCATGTAATACTTTTCGCGTCGATCTAATCCATACATTAGATGTTCACTATTCTTTAACGATAATTATGTCTCAGTCTCATATAAGTTTCTCTTACAATAATCATTATGTAATACTTCTCGTGTCGATCTAATCCTTACGTTAGATGTTCACCATTCTTCACTATGCTAAAACTATTTAAAATTCTTACAGTAATGAAACTACTCACCATTGAAATCTATAGGAAAGGTCATATTATAAATAATAGGAGAGAATTTAAGTTTTTTTGATTTTCCATCTGAGTGTCCAGTACGCACATTAGAGATCGATTAAATCCGAATATGCACCAAAAAGTCCAATAGGGGTAAAGTGCTTCATAACAAACGGAAATATATACCTACAGATCGAAACCGGGACTTTTAGTTAAGGATGAAGAAGTACTTATCTCTCCATCATAACAAAAGCGACTCTATATGTTTCTCCTCGTTAAGTATTTTCTTCACCTAATCTTTTTTCTTCATTTGTCCAAATCTTTAGATACAATTTTAAATAACCACTGATCCAAAGTTTAGTATTTACATGAAAAGATTAAAGTCAAATCAATAACATGTTTCTATATTTTTTCTCCATAATTTATTATTTACTTTTTATTAATATATTCATTTATTTACTACAACAACAAAAAGAAAAAATACCTTGAACCCCAACATTTTCTCTAATAAAATCAGTGTAAATATGAACAGACAGTGATCCTGCCGCAGAAGTCCAAACAGGAATCCAATCAACGCCTAATTCCTCCGCAATCTCACCGGAAAACCATATAAACGCATCCGCGAAAACGCACGTAATTTTTTTTCCCGTTTCATCCTCAGCAGCTGATATAGCATTCTGAAAATTATTTTTCGCGGATTTAAAAAATAACCCTATAAGCTCCTCGATTCCTCCTTCTCCGATCGCGTATCCCTCGGGTACGCCATCGGAGATATCGAAGGGCTTAAGATTAGTACAATGTGGGTCGGTTTGATTGGAGAAAATTAAAGAATTTGATTTGGAGGTGTTGAAAAATGTGAATGTTACATTAGGTAATGTATTTGCTAGCCTTTGGACAAGTCCATGTAAAAGGCCAGCATGTGTTGCAAAAGGGAATGCTAGAACAGCAACATGATAATTGGACATTATTTTTTGGAGAAATAATGAAAATATGGAGTGAGTCAAGATTTGGATGTAGGTTATGTTTTTTCTTGTTTGTTTAGTTATATAGGTAATAACACGTGGAATAATCATAGGCTAGTAACTTCTGTAATTAATACTATAAAAGATGCTTTAAGACCGGAGTCCTTATCGTTTCTTTAATGGTTGCAATTTTGTCTTACTATCCTTTTCTATCTTTCTCTCTCCTATTTTTTTCACAAATTAGTTGGACGAGTGGCTTCCCACATGGGAGATCGGGGATCGATTTCTCTCACAAATAGTCTTTTCAATCAGAGCTTGTCGCATTGGGTTTACCTAATGTAATTTACATCTCCTATGTGATTTACAAGTTATTGTGCACTGAGTAGATTACCCAGTGCACACCTAAAGCGTGACGCCTGAGGGTTTCCTGGGGAATTTTCCAAAAAAAAAACACTAAAAGAAAATAGAAAAATTTCAGAGCTCTCTTTAAGTTATTTCTCTCTTAACTATCTTGTATTCAAAATTTGCTAGCCCGATGAATTCAAATTCGGATCGTGTACGATACACTTAAGGGTTCCGATCCAGGAATCTCCATGAAAATAGGGAAAAATGGCTTATCACGCATCAACCTAAGTCTGCTAAGTAATCCATTGGCGAAAAGCTACCAAAGCCCCCTTGGCCTTTGAAGAGGAGAGGGCAGAGAAGAAAACATCCTTCGGTTGATGGTCGGGATCGTGGAACTATTGCTCGAGAAGTAAGAAGCTAATCCTTGTTTGGACTTTGTTCCTAGGGGTCGAACCCAAAAAGGGGACAGATTTCTTCCATCTCACTATATTCTTGGCTAAGAATATGTTATCTTTCTTTTTCCGTAATAGAAAAATTATTTACAAGCATTAACACAAGTGACCAAATTACAATGTTGAAACAAACCAACAACAACAATAATAAATTCAGTATAATCTCATAGATAGAGTCTAGGAAAATTATGTGTACGGAGACCTTACCCTTACCTGAAGAGGTGGAGAAACTGTTTTCAACAACAACAACAATGTTGAAACAAACCGACACAGCATTAACACAAGTGACCAAATTACAAGGTTGGAATTGCACCATAATAGCATTCAGTACCAGCATTCACTACCCATCTTTGTCTCATTTACTACACCTTCTACTTCATACCACGTGTCTGGGGCGGAGCTAGTATATAAGATACAGACTTAGTCGAATTCAGTAGCTTTGATTCAAATTTCATACTCCCTTCGATCCATAATAAATGACCTTTTGACCTTTGGCATATCCTTTAATAAAATAGTAACTCCTAAAAAAATAGGTATTTTGACAAAATTACCCATAATTAAAATTTGCATATTGTTAACTTGATACATTGGAATATGTAAATAAGGGTAGATCTTGAAAAAACAAAGTTAATTCCTTCTTGTTATATAAAAAGTCACTTAATAAAAAGGTAAAAAAAATTATTAATTATGGACCGGAGGGAGTACTTATCTTTAAAAAATTTATTTAGTATGTATAAATTATTAATTTAAAATTTAATAATTTAAAATTATTAATTTCACACTTATAAGTTTCAATTTCTAGCTCCGCCTTTACCACAGGCTACCCCAAAACAAACCAAAACATAAATTAAAATGGACAACATTCACTATCCATCTTTGTCAGCCAACCACCATAATTTTTCACAAACACCTACCAAAATTTTACTGCTACAGAGAAAAATAGGACAATGATTTCAGACTTCAAAATATATGTATTTGTTTGTGACACAATGATTTACAGATCTTATACTTATACTGGGGCTAATATGATATGATGCCCACCTGTTACCAGAGGCGGAGTCAGGATTTCGAGCTTATGGGTTCGGGATTCTAATCGTTAAAAGTTACTGGGTTCTAAATTAATCATTTATATATATTTAATGATTTTTAAGACAAAATACACGATTCAAATCAAAGTTACTGGGTTCAGCCGAACCTGGTCCCAACACTCTACCTCCGCCACTGCCTGTTACTGAAATTGTTATTTGAATGCCATTTATAGGATGTATTAATTATGAGACCAATTTACATTTTCTATTATTGAAAAGGACATGTTTATGATATTTTCTAAATGTTATGCTAACATGTTTTCTGACTTGTCCTACATTAAAATGGCTGGTAGATTAATGTTAATTTATTCATTGAGATAGCAGTGGACACAGACGAGGACCTTCCTAAGTAGAGTGTACAAGTTGATATTTTTGGTGTGCCTCGCATTGGTCGTGTTGGCTGAGTGGTTATTATCTCCCTTTCATTTAAACTCTTAGAGTTGCTCCATTAGACCACTTTTATTACTTCTAAAGTCATTATAGGATTTATAGCTAAGTCAAATTAGCTTGTTTGTATTTTTTATGTTGGACCTAGTATTGTAGTGTTACAAATAGATGGTGTGACTTGTTTTGTTGGGTACTCACTTTTTAAATTTTTAATGTGATTTTAGCTGAGACAAGAAATGTTGGATAGCCCTGGATAGCAAACAAAAATACTCAATTAGTTGTACTTTGTTTAGCTTCATCCATTTGAAAACCTCTATGCATGTTCTAGGGTTATATGAATAATTTTTTCGTTTCATTTTATGTGAGGCTCTCTCTTTTTTAGTCCATTCCAAAAGAATGACATCTTTCGATATTTAAAAATCGTTAAATTTTTCATTTTACTTTTGATGACATGCTTTTATAATCATAAAAATGTCATGACACGTTTAAACCATAAGTTCTAAGCGTCTTCTTGGTATGGAAAAAATCTTTCTTGTACTTCATGCCCAATTAAACAAACACAAAACCCTTTCAGCTAAATCTATCATCACGTCGAATCATTCTAAAAGAAATAAAATTAAAGCCAATTCTTCCAAAAATCAATAAAAATCCAGACTCTCTTTTAATCCAAACTCTTAGTCTCTCTATTGGAATAGAGTTAACTGAACTTGTGAAATTGTTGCTCTAGTTTGAATGTGTATTGGGAAAAAACTGAATTTACATTGAAGGTGACGTGGCATGACACGAGGACTGGTCAAATGGTCAAAGCATGATGATCAGTTAAGAGGCACGAGTGACAACAGATACGGGGAAAGGAAAGCTGAATAGGCACGAGAGGCAATTCGAATAATACAAGCTTCGTACCTATTTAGGCCATTTAAAGCTAAGAGATCAGAAGGCATTGAAGACATGGATATGATGACAAAAAGGAGTCCAAATTCAATATTAAATACCCATACGTTAGAGAATTGGTATTAAATAGGAATAATTGTGTAACGTCTTATTTAATGTCATTTATTGCTCATAATTGTCTCATTAAGGCTAAGGTATTACTCATTTATTTAGGATCAACTATAAAAGGAGGAGGCCAGGTCATTTGTAAAGACAGAGGATACCATCAACATTACATTAAAATACAAACTTATCTACTGCTTATTTGTGATTCTCAAAAAGTCTATTATTTCTTTTTCGTCTCTTGATTATCAGTAGCCCGAATTTCTATTTATCTTTATCTTTGACCAAAGAATAATCTTTTTGGTTAAACAAATTGGTTCTGTTACCGGAAAACTGATAATCTTTTCTTTGAAGCTATGTTTTATTCGTCTTTTATCAACATGTCAAACAACAACAACAATAACAGTGATAACATATTGGGAAACCATGAAAATCAAATCCATCAAAATCAAGGTGACCAACTAAACATTGACATGGTTCCCTCCCCTCCGGATTCACCACGTCAATCTCGTGAAGGCACTCCTGCTCCGGAATCCTGTGCTGATCAACAAGAACAATTTGAACACTTTGAAGGAGGTACAAATGAAGCTTTACAAAAGCTAATTGATGCACAGGTCGGCAAAGCTCTTCAGGCTCTAGTTAGTCGATTGCCTGCTGCACCACCCACACCAACTCCTAATAATAATACATTGGAGAATCCCCGTTCTGGTCTTGTTAATTCTGGAAATAGAGGAACCACCAGTGAACCACAGGAAGGGGGACCAGGTAATTCAGATAATTTCTATTTGCAAAATTTAGTACTAACCTTGTAGAAACAGATTAAGGAACAAAATGAGCGTATTGAGCAAATCCCTGGAGTTCCGCCTGTAATAAAATGAGTAGACATGGATAAATACTCACAACAACCTTGGAAGCCAAGTGCTGCTCCCCTTCCAATTCCGAAAAAGTTTAAAATGCCTGACATCCCGAAATATGATGGTACTACAGACCCACGTGACCACGTGACTGCATTTACAACAGGCGTGAAAGGCAACGACTTGACCAAACAAGAAATTGAATCAGTACTGGTCAAGAAATTTGGAGAAACACTCACCAAGGGTGCATTAACCTGGTATTCTCTTTTATCTGAAAATTCTATAAATTCTTTTGCTGAGCTTGCAGATTCTTTTATTAAAGCACATTCGGGAGCTCAAAAGGTTGAGAAAAGAATGGAAGATATTTTCAAAATCAAACAAGGGGATTCAGAGTTACTCAGAGACTTTGTTGATAGATTCCAGCGTGAAAGAATGACTCTACCCCGTGTGCCTGACAACTGGGCTGCAATAGCTTTTGCAAGTAATTTAAATGACAAAAGTTCTGAAGCCACGAGAAGACTCAAAGAAAGCCTTCGAGAATTCCCTGCAACCACGTGGAATGATGTTTACAACAGGTATAGTACGAAGCTGCGAATTGAAGAAGATACCGTACCTAAGTTTCATCATGAAGAAAGGGGTGGTTCCAGAAGATCAGAAACCGAAAAAAGATCAGGTAAAAACAGGTACGATCCATATATGGGACCTGCAGGAAAAGACTCACGGTCAAAACAAGATAGCCAGCAATATGATAAAAAATGGAGGAACAGGGACTCTGGTTCTTCATCAAGATTCAGAAATGATCGGAACAAACAAGAGTCACGAGATGATAACAGAAGTTTAAAGGCACGGTTCGGCAGATATAACTTTAACGTCACTACCTCCGAGCTCGTGGCTGTTTTGAGAAGCACGGGAGATAATG